GTTTTTCACGGTTTGACTATCTTATAAAACTCTGCTTTCTAGTCTGGGAGCGAGTCGTTCTTTTTTCTTTTTTCCCCCCAGCGCAGTACAAACAAAGATGCCCACGAATTTCAGACCAATCACACATTACCGTCGACACGGGAGGGGGGTCAAAAGTTCTGCCGGGGGGTTGTGCCAAAAGAGGCTGTCGACACGATGCTGCGAAGCCCGGTGACGTAATTGTCGTCATTAAACTGTGACAACCCGTGCCGACGTCAGCAGTTCGCAGGAAGTACGTTTTCAGCTTAACTCTTGAATCTCTGCAGGGCATGTCTCTTCAGAGAGGCTTTTATACTGAACACTGCTGTGAGACGTCACACAGTACCAGCAATGTCGTGTGGTACCTTTTTGAACGAATAACAAAATTCAAATGTAGTAGCCATAGTTGAACCCATAGAGAGCAGCACAAAGACATTTTTAGACACAATATTATACATTTAAACAATTTTWGCCCAAAATGTTGAATTTTAGTCATAAATAGAAAGGTATTACCCTTAGGGCACTGTTTAAACAGTTTTTCTGCAAAAAAAAGTTGATTTTGGGGTAAGTTCCTCTTCAAGGCCACCATGTTTCCTCTTGTTTTCATTTGTTTATTTATATATTCGTCCGACTCGTGTCAGCCTCTGATAAGTCTATAATCTATGTGTTCTCCTGCAGGCTGAGCAGCGGGGTCCAGCCTTCCTGACCACCGGTCAGTTCGCCCCTCAGGCCCTGGGGAGAAGAGACCGACCCGATCCCGTCCAGAACGCTCGGCAACAGGCCTACAACATGAGGATGCATTCCAACATGGTACGCTGAGCAGGAATCAAAGGTTTCACCCTGAGTGTGTGGAAGGACAGGTGGTCAGGCCTTTAACAGGACCACTGGTTGTTTTACAGTTTGAGACGAAAACATTTTTAAATATAAACATGTCAACAGAACATCTGTTCACAGCTTGTTGGGTCTGGATGATGTTTGTAGGCAGAATGCTGGAAATGAAGAAGCTCCATGCGATTTTGTTCATGGGAGACGTTTCAGCTGCTCATTAACACTACGATGGTTTATTTTGCCAGGATGCTGCTCAGTCACTCAAAGCCATGATGAAGAACGGAGGAAACGTAAGTTCACACCAAATAAAAACCTTGGAGTTCAGTCAGAGGAGGTCTGGTCTGCTCAGTTAGTTAGAGGGATCTCTGTCTGCTCAGCTCCAGCTGCTGCAGCCAACAATCAGTCATAATCCTAATCCAGAGACTCCTGTTTCATTAAAGTTTCATTAAAGCCTCAGATATTTTACTAACAGACGCAGTTACATGATGACCTGCCTCTGATGGTGGTGTGTAAGCATGAGGAGAGGCTTTCATCTCATTCTTTTAGATTCATGTTGAAGAAAATATCTTGTTTCAAACTAAATAATGACTCCAGTTACAAAACAACTGATTTAAACTGACAGAAATGTGCATGTGTGTTCAGGGCGGGTGATGTGCACGTCCTCAGAGGACAGGTGCACAGTTTGGTTTGACTTGTTGGAGCTGCTGGTTGCTCACAGCCTGTCTGTTTGAATCTTTTAAATGAAAAGTTTTATTGGTTCTTTGGGTTTTCTTTGCCCTGCTCAGTCGTCTGCAGGCTGCAGCGACGGCAGGGGACAGAAGAGGAAAACTGAAGACAGCGACAGCGAGCCTGAGCCTGAAGACAACGTCAGGTACACAAACTCAGCATTATTTGTTTTCTCCTTTAGGAAATCAAGAGTTCAAATAAATTAATTGTTTCACAAACTCTGTGAGATTAGTGCTGAAACTGCTGGTTACTGAGAGTTCTGTGGGACCTGTGTCCACCAGGACAGTCCTGTGTCAACCAGAACAGTCCTGTGTCCACCAGAACAGTCCTGTGTCCATCATAACGAATCTGTGTCCATCATAACAGACCGGTGTCCAACGTAACGGACCGGTGTCCAACGTAACAGACCGGTGTCCATCGTAACGAATCTGTGTCCATCGTAACGAATCTGTGTCCATCATATCGAACCTGTGTCCACCATAACAGACCGGTGTCCATCATAACGAATCTGTGTCCATCGTATCGAATCTGTGTCCATCATAATGGACTGGTGTCCATCGTAACGGACCGGTGTCCATCGTAACGGACCGGTGTCCATCGTAACGGACCGGTGTCCATCGTAACGAACCGTTGTCCATTGTAACGAATCTGTGTCCACCATAACAGACCGGTGTCCATCATAACAGACCAGTGTCCATCATAACGAATCTGTGTCCATCGTATCGAATATGTGTCCATCGTAACGGACCGGTGTCCATCGTAACGAACCTGTGTCCATCTGTCTAACCTGTGTCCATCATAATGGACTGGTGTCCATCGTAACGGACCGGTGTCCATCGTAATGGACCGGTGTCCATCGTAACGGACCGGTGTCCATCGTAACGGACCGGTGTCCATCGTAACGGACCGGTGTACATCGTAACGAACCGTTGTCCATTGTAACGAATCTGTGTCCATCATAACAGACTGGTGTCCATCATCGAACCTGTGTCCATCATATCGAACCTGTGTCCATCATAACATACTGATGTCCATCATATCAAACCTGTGTCCATCATAGAGGAATGTTGTCCATAACGAACCGGTGTCCATCATAACGAACCGGTGTCCATCAAAACGAACCATTGTCCATCATAATGGACCAGTGCCCATCATATCGAACCTGTGTCCATCATATCGAATCTGTGTCCATAATAACAGACTGGTGTCCATCATAACAGAATGATGTCCATCATAACGGAATGATGTCCATCATAACAGGCTGGTGTCCTTCATATCGAACCTGTGTCCATCATATCGAACCTATGTCCATCATATCGAACTTGTGTCCATCATGACGGACTGGTGTCCATCATGACGGACTGGTGTCCATCATAACGGACTGGTGTCCATCATAACGGACTGATGTCCATCATATCGAACCGGTGTCCATCATATCGAACCGGTGTCCATCATATCAAACCGGTGTCCATCATAACGGAATGGTGTCCATCATAACAGAATGGTGTCCATCATAACAGAATGGTGTCCATCATATCGAACCTGTGTCCATCATATCGAACCTGTGTCCATCATAACGGACTGGTGTCCATCAAAACGAACCTGTGTCCATCAAAACGAACCTGTGTCCATCATAACAAACCGGTGTCCATCATAACACACCGTTGTCCATCGTAACGGACCTGTGTCCATCATAACGAACGTGTGTCCATCACAACGGACTGGTGTCCATCATAATGAACCTGTCTTAACAGAAGAGTCCTGTGTCCACCAGAACCTGGGAGTCCAGTGAGGAAGGTCAGGGTTTTTAAATCAAAGGTTTAAATCAGGTGAACTTTAATAACTCTGATCAATAAATCTTCCTTTAAGTCTTTTCTTTGGACGTGTGGACAGTTTGTCAGCCTGTGGTCCATAAACAGAACCGGTCTGATTAATGCTGCTGGGCCGGGCCGGGCTGGGCTGAGCGTGATTAAAACCTCAGATTCAATTCCTGTGTGGAGCTCTCAGCAGAGCTGTTAATCCAGCAGCCTCATCTGATATTCATGGAGGCGTTTCTGTCAGGAGCCGCCGCTCCCAGCGGGCCCCTCAGAGCATCCACCACGCAGGTGCTGGGCCGCCCCAAATCCACCGAGAAGTCTGAGACATTAAACCGTCCCAGCATGCTGTCTGCCTGCAGCTGAGATCTGATTCTATCATCCATTAATTGATCATCAGCTGACTGCAGAGCCTCAGCTCTACAGACAGGTCCAAGAGTTCTGGTTCTGACCTGTGTGTGTCTGACTGTGTCTGTGTGTGTCTTTGTGTGTGTGCTGCAGGCTGTGGGAGGAGGGCTGGAAGCAGAGATACTATAAGACAAAGTTTGACGTGGATGCTACAGATGATGGTTTCAGGAAGAAGGTGGTCCAGTCCTATGTGGAGGGTCTGTGCTGGGTTCTGCGGTACTATTACCAGGTAATAACACGGCCTGCTTCTGACACTGTGTTATAAAGCATTTACAAAATGAATATCTGAGATTGGAAAATGAACTCTGGTTTCACTTGATTAGTCAGAAAACAGTCATCTACAACAGGTAAGATATTAATTAATTATAACATTGCATAGAAAGCTGCCTTTAAAATATCTGAACTGTCCCTTTAAATGTTTTTGTCCTGCATCCTGCTCGCTCTCCTGTTTAAATCAGATCATTATTAAAGGAATCCTCCAGTCCAAACAACTGGTTCAGAATAAAAACTGGATCTCCTCACATCAAAGAGCGACCTGGGTCCTCTCTGAGCAAACCCAGGTCTGATCTGGGTCTGAGTGGTTCTGGGTGGGAGGATCTGAGCTCAGAGACTCAGAACCTTGAAAGTGGTGTTTATTATTCATTTCCTCTCCTTGAAGTGAATTAATGAGCGTGGGAGCCTCTCCAGACGAGTCGGGGGATTTGTTCTGCTCTCCGTTAACGCCACTCGCTCGTCAGTCCAAATCCTGTCTCAGGGGGACGTTCTGAAGGATGTCCTTACTGGGTCCTGTGTGGACAAGGACGTGTTGGTTCTGGACTGCAGCACATTAACGCTCCTACAAAGATATGAGCACACATGCCCCTGAACCTTCAGAGCCTCAGAGCCTTTAGAGCCTCTGAACCTTTAGAGCCTCAGAACCTTTAGAGCCTTAGAACATTTAGAGCCTTTAGAGCCTCAGAACTTTTAGTGCCTTTAGAGCCTCAGAACTTTTAGTGCCTTTAGAGCCTCTGAACCTTTAGAGCCCCTGAACCTTCAGAGCCTCAGAACCTTTAGAGCCTTTAGAGCCTCAGAACTTTTAGTGCCTTTAGAGCCTCAGAACCTTTAGAGTCTTTAGAGCCTCAGAAACTTTAGAGTCTTTAGAGCCTCAGAACCTTTAGAGCCTCAGAAACTTTAGAGCCTCAGAACCTTTAGTGCCTTTAGAGTCTCAGAACCTTTAGAGCCTCAGAATCTTTAGAACTTTTAGAGCCTCAGAACCTTTAGTCTTTAGAGCCTCAGAACCTTTAGAGCCTCAGAACCTTTAGAGCTTCAGAACCTTTAGTGCCTTTAGAGCCTCAGAACCTTTAGTGCCTCAGAACCTTTAGTGCCTTTAGAGCCTCAGAACCTTTAGAGCCTCAGAACATTTAGAGCCTCAGAATCTTTAGTGCCTTTAGAGCCTCAGAACATTTAGAGCCTCAGAATCTTTAGTGCCTTTAGAGCCTCAGAACCTTTAGTGCC